AAAAAAAAAAAAAAAAAACAGAGAAACAGAAAGAGATCAATTTAGTTTTAGTTCATTCAGCGCTTAGGAAGGCAGCAGCGCAGTGGATGTTTTGATTTACGATTCAGTTTACGAAGAGTGACCGGTCGATTGGTTGTGATTTTGTGATGCTTGAAATCATACACACGACGACAGAAATAGACCTAAAAATATGAGAAACTAGAGGTGGATTCGGGAGTAACAGGGGGAGAAATTTCGCTTTCTAAAGGATAAGAAGATCGTGCAATGAGGAAAGAATTGCAAAAAGCTGGAATGCGCTAAAAATAACAGCCAGCCAAAGGGCAAAAAACTAAACTAGGACGCTGAAAATAGCATTAAATTTTGAAATTCTGCGACTATAAAAACACTGAAACATGCAGTGTCGACGCAAATAAGGATGAAAATGAGAAGAGGATGTTATTGTTTCGAGAAATACTCTACTATGGTCAAGAAATGCCTGCTGTGGCAAAACTCAAAAGCTGAGAATGTACCAATCAAGTGAACTGGAAAAGGATATTCAAACGACTAGCTCAGCCGAAAAAAAATTTAAAAAAATGTGAAAGTTTCGAATAAGTTCTATCGGTCAGTAACGTCATGAAAAATCTTTTACCGATTCGAGCGGCGTATCGTCAAACGGAAGAAATTGTCGTCTTGGATAATTATCCTCACCTCTTCTCCACAGTAATTTCTCTTCGGTGACACGTTGCTCTGGTGGGTACATATCGTTTACTGTTTCAGCCAAAAACCTAAATTGAAAAAATGTGGGAATTTTATCAACGAGAAATAACGATACATTGGAAGAACAACTGTGGAGTTATAACATTATACAATCATTTATCTTTTTTTAATATATACATAGTCATACACCCAAAAATCTTTTCAAAAGATGCAGCGCATGAGCATCCCCGTTGTCTGCTCGTGACCTATTTTTTGCAGAATAATCTGTTTTGGATTTTGACTTTTTCGAAAGCAACCATTTGTTTGACCGCTTTCAGAAATCTGGCACTTTCGATCATCCTCCCGCATGTAGTTACGCCTACCATTTAAATATAACTGTATTTCTTAAAAGCTCTCTCAGGAAAAGTTACAAAATGCACAATTCACCAGTGCGGCGCATCCCACATCAGCATCCAAATGCCAAGTGTAACTTTACAAGATCGTTTTGTGCCAAGTCGCTTGTCGCTCGTTTTTTCACTACTTTCTGTTAGAACAAAGTATTCACGCGCCATCGATCTTCAAAAATTTCGACTCATAACATTTACTTCTGTTTTGATAGAAATTTTTACTCTATCAATCGGCGACAAAACAAACCGAGCGTACTCATTATACGTCAATACAAAAACAATTTCGTCCACCGTGTCAAGCTGCACTAAGTCAATATGGCGTGATGCAAACAATTCACGTGATGCGATTGGCGGAGACGGATTCTCTATCTTCACTTGTCTTGGACTGTAATACCAAAGTACTGTGGCAAACGGAATTCCTGTAATGTATCTTGCTTCGCTTTGATGATGACCTTGATCAGTTGGCATGCAAATTTATGACAGTCACAGGCTGCAGTGAAACAAGAACTTATTTCCTCGAGTAAAATGAAATTTATTCGCAATGAAAACCCAAATTAAACTTTATTTAAACTAAGTTGATCAACAAAACAAAGGCTAGAACGCACCAGGCGAGCTGGTGCGATCATGCATTTTGCATCAAACTTGAAGTAATTTGGTTAACTGCATGAACAGTTGTTTCTTCACACCCATCTTGTGCGCTCAATACCGTAAATCATCGTAAATTTTGCATAAAAGAAAATAAACAATTTCCGTTTA